CCAACATTAGTGCTTTGAAAACCCAATTTTTCTATTTTCGACCTTCTGATCCTTTTTTTTTCGAGTTGTTAACTGACCTTCCTTTCCGACTTGCAACCCCGCGACCTGATAACATTTAGGAAGCGTTCATCGAGTCCTGGAACGAGATCCCTATGAATTCTATGCTTCTAATCGAGCATGGGAAACTCCTATATTATTGTATTTTACCAAGAGGAGAACAACTTATATCATCAGTTTTGGTAGAGACAACTCACTGCATTTTTCTATCTTTTTTTACCTTAACTAATAAATTTATTTTGTACATATTTTATGTTCTCGTCTTTGAAGTCAACCTCCTTTAGAAATAAGGAGAAAACTCATGCGACCTTCCACGGAGCTCAATCCGTTGGACCACTCGGGCCTCCCCCCATAAAACAGGGGGCCAAGCCATACACACCCTCCTCCTCCTTCTAAATCCGTCAGCAAAAAACGACCAATATCGATCGCTGCTGATCGGAGCCCGAAGTAGCCTTGGGTCAGTCGGATGGAGGTAAACATGCCCGACACCCTAATGATTGGTCAAGACGAGTTGTATGTTGTCTCATACCCGATGAAGGTTCTTCCTGCCGAGGAGACCAAGCGTTGGTTGTCTGATCCCAAGGGTCTAATTGAGTATGCAGCTGACGCTTGAGCTCGTCTAATTATTATCTTCTCACCTTTGTTATTAGAAACTTAGAAAAATATTTTCTTGACATTTTTCTTGTGTTACAGCTCCTGTCCACGGTGGTCCCTATGGTTAACAAAGAACTGCGTGACTTTTATCTTTCTATCGAGTAACTCAAGAGCGAGCTAGTAAAAATGAAGAAGGAGAACAACTAGCTGACTAAGAATAATTTTGACCTGAAGAAACATCTCGTTGCTCAGACCAGAGATCATGTCACTTTCCTTAAGGAAAAGGAGATATAGATTGCTCGCGAGACAATTATAGCTGACAATTATATTTTTTAGGTTGAAATTATTTTCTACCCTTCAATCAGAATTCAATTTTTAGAATTTTCCCTGAACACAATTACATAATTATTGCTTCATCGCATTCCTCTACCACCATCATCTCCATCGCACCCTGTCGTCGACTGTTCCGCCGTCCGCTACCTCCGAAGGCAACTTCTCTGTGAAAATCCACCCAACACCAATCCCCCACCCCGCCCTACACCAAATTTTTTATGCAATTTGCAAAGCCACCCAGCTTCAGCCCCAATCCCGCCCCTCCCTACACCAAATTTTATG